GAGAGGCAGAAGTTTAACAAGGCGCGTGGTTCTTCTGGTCCCGCTGCGGCCGCACCTCAAGGAGCAAGCTCTTCTCAGGAAGAGGCAGCTTCTGGTGCAACAGCTTCTGGCTCTCAACGTCCTCCAGAACCCGCACAACCTCCCGGTGGCAAAGAAGGCGGCAAAGGAGGCAAGTCCTCCAAAGGGAGAGGCAAGGAATCCAACAAGGGCAAGTCCAAGGGCAAATCCAAGGACAAGTCCAAGGGCAAGAGCAAGGGGAAAAACTGACTAGGTTCCGATTCGGATGTGGATATGGACGATGGTCTCGACGAAGTTCCTTTGGAACAAAATGAAGACGTTGCTCCTGATCCACAACCTTCGTTGCCTACATCCCCAGCTGATCCTCGTGCTTACGATCCAGTCCGCCATGCTCCGGTGATGCGAAGTCACAAAGTTGACATTTACCGCTGGTCTGGTGAACACCGTGATACGACCTGGGATCGAGACATAGAGTTCGTCGACTGAACTGGCTGAGTGTTTCACGGAAGGCTTCTTTCAGAAGAAGGTATCCACTCTGAACATTCGTCATTTCATAGGGAGATGCTTTTCTCAGGAAAAGGTACTTCCTAAAGAACTCGTCTTTCAAGAAGATATCTCGGGATAAGATACTTCCAATGCCCTTACACAATTTGCCTTGCAGCAAGATGTCATGCTGGCATCAAGTGGAGCTAAGCTCTACACCTTTATGTTGCAGTATGCTTTCCATCTGGAGAGGGACCTGAATCACAAGTGGGCAACTTTCAAGCACAAGTTTCAAGTGAAGATCCGTTTGCGTTTTGTGCGTGTTCTGCTCTTGTCATGAAGCTGTCTCCAGGCTAGAGAATGTATAGTTTCTCTTTAAGTCGCAGTGTAGCTCAATACTCCGCTAATTCGACCGCGAGCTATAACAGGCTAGTAGAATGCCGACTCCACGGCCATGCAGTTCTACGTGTTTTGAATTTGTGCCTGGTTGAAACACTGAATGTTACACATCCAGGTGCCTGTCTGTTTCACGTATCACTTGCATGTATCCATGCCTGTTGCTCAAGGTTCTAGTGCAGTGGACTACAGCTGTGCGCCTGTAGCAAAAAAGACACCTGAGTGCCTGTGTTCCTGTACGACTAGCGAGGGGATACACGTCCAGGGGATACACGTCCAGGTTACATCTCATGGGGTGGGTGGGTGGGGGGGTGGGTGGGGGCGTAGGGGGGTGTGTGGGTGTGTGGTGTGTGGGTGTGTGGTGTGTGGTGTGTGGGTGTGTGCGTGTGTGGGTGGGTGGGTGGGTGTGTGGGTGGGTGTGTGGGTGGGTGTGTGAGTGGGTGGGTGTGTGGGTGGGTGTGTGGGTGTGTGGGTGGGTGTGTGGGTCGGTGTGTGGGTGTGCGTGTGGGTGTGGGTGTGCGTGTGGGTGTGCGTGTGCGTGTTACTAATTATTACCATGATCGTGCCATTGTTGGGGTCGTTGCCCTACATGTTGAGGATTTGTGCTTTGATTGGGATAGTGCCTTTGAGAAGAACCTCCTGACAACGTTGAGGGAAATATTTCCCTTGAAGCATTGGAATCCTGGACGCAGGGTGATGCGCAGTTCTCGGGCAACTACTTGAAGCAAGAAGCACACTTGAGCATCAAACTCACACAGAAAGGCTATACAGAGGAGGTCAGAGGCGTTCAGATTTCGAGAGAGCGACGGAGAGAGAAGTGCGAACAGGTGACAGAGGACGAGAGGCAGCAGATGAGAGGAGTTCTTGGATGGATGAACTGGCTTGTGAGTGGCAGTCGCCCTGATCTTGCTGCATGGAGCCCTCACATGCAACAGCGCGTTCAATGTGCTACCGTAGCGGACTTGGTTGAAGTGAACCAGTTGGTTGGCCCATGATGGCAAGGATGCTCACATATGGATCAAGTCCATACCAGTGGAGTGGGTGCAGTTTGTCATGCTGTCAGATGCTGTGTGGGCATATGGCAAGGACTTCTGTTACGTTCACAAGCTGGAGACATGATAACTGCGTTTGATAGAAGCTTCCAGCTGGTGACCGGTGAGTATGGCGAGTTCTCCATCATGGGATGGCGGAGCTACAAGCAAAATAGGCAGACGCACTCAACTTTGGGTGCGGTGTCGCTTTCGCGAGGTCTTGTTGAAGCTCGATGGGTACGTTCCATGTGGTGTGAGGCTACATGTGAAAACTACGAAATCCGTCAAGATCATGATAAATGTTACGGTTCGGTTTTCGGTACGGTTAGCATTGCCTGCGGTTTCCTTCGATGATGTGCCTGTCCCGCCTCCACCTCCCGCCTCCCACCTACCTCCCACCTCACCTCCCACTCCCAACCCTCCCACCACCTCCCACCTCACCTCCCACTCCCCGTCACACCTCCCCACCTCCCACCTCCCACTCCCGCCCCACCTCCCACCTTGGGTGAGAGGTGGGAGGGAGGTGGGAGGTGTGGGTGGGGGTGGGAGGGCTTCGGTTCGGTTTGGCGCCGTCCCAAATTTCGGTTCGATACGATACTCGGTGAAAGTATTGTTGAAACGGCCATGATCATCTATGGAGGTGCAAGATACCAATCACAGCTGTGACTGACTGCCGCAAACCAGTTTTCGATCGTGCAAACAGCACCACTGTGGCAATCAACGACAACAGGATGGCCATCGAGATGCTGTTATTGAAAGAAGACATAGGGCAGTACAGTGTCAGCTTATTGTGGATGGCTACAAAGCAGATGATTGTGGACGTGCTGACGAAGAAGGTGTTCCGTAAAGTCTCGTTTGAGGCGGTGGTTCGGGATGGTTGGTTCATATTTGTTGAAGACGAAGCAGTGTTGGGAGCCACTTCGAAGAACTTTCCCGCGTCTGGACCTGCTAGTTCCGGGGTGTGACAATAAATCTATGTCCCTGCCATGTCTTTTGAAAAAACATGTGCATTTCAAGAAAAACGTGAGGGTCGAATGACCGATGCCAATCGTTTCGAAGCTCCCCTTTAGCTATAGGTTATAGAGGTAGCATCCGAGTGCCGGTGAATGGAAAACAAGTGCGATTGTGATCACCTGAGGGCCTTGAATCTTCACCTTGCCTATGACCGTCCTGATGCTCACAGATGGTTGTGGTTGAAGGTCCCAACTGAAGGTTGCTTGTTCCAAGCTGTCCGGCAGGTTGCGAGTTTGGATGCGGTGGCCGTCGACTCCATGGGCATGTACTACAGCCCTGAGGACATGGAGCCTCAAACTTGTTACGCCTTGACAGAATCAAGCGATACAGCCGCCGGAACGTGAAGCTCTTTCCCAGAGATCCCTTGACTCTGAAAAGTTTTTTCGCCCACCTCCCTCCTTTTGTGTATCTCACTCTCAGGCGTCGTGGTTGGGGCACCCGAAGATGTTCCTTTTGTTATTTGCCCATTGCTGAAAATATGCACCTGGTCAACAATTAACCCTGTTTACCCACCTCTCTCAAAACCCAGCAGAACCCGCCTCAAGCCCATGCTCCCGAAGGGTCACAAAGACCAGAAACAAGCAATGACCACTTGGGCCAAAACAGGCCATCTACACTTTCTTCGGCGTTTGGCCGCCAGCGTGCGTCCGACCGAGTCTTGAATTCAAATACTCCAGCACAGTCGGAGCTACGGTCTTGAATTGTCTCGAAGTTTGGTTGAGTAGATTCTGAGAATTGACCTCTGGGGCTAGCCTCTCAACCTCAGTATTTCTATGTCTAGCTCTTGCAGCAGTGATTTCGCTGGTTGCACTACTTGGCGAGATTATCATCAACTAGACTATCTGATCTTGCGATGATGGGCTCGGAATGTCGGCAGAACTCCCCACAGCAAGCGGGCGAGAATCTGCTCGGTTCGCCAAGATGTGCGAACTGAAACCTAAACCATGCCACAACGATCATGGACTTAGACGCTAACGTTGCTGGGGGGACGCACTTTTCAATTGCAATCTTTTCAACCGCAGCCGCAATCCGGGATCCCGACCTAAAGTTGTGCTCATCTGGCCAGCCAGACCGAACAGGAACGGACCTGCAGGTCTGGCTTCAGAAAGGACTGTGTTCAGCCCGGGGTAGCCTAGAACACCAAAGGCTAACTTCTGGCATCCTTCGCTGCTGCCTCGCTCTGGCGCGCAAATGCTTCTTGAAAGCATTTGCTGAGGGGTCTTGGGCCATGAATTTTCATTTTAACGTTGCGGCATGTTGCGGCCTAGATAAACAGTGTTCTGAATCTGGCCGCTTCAGTGCATTCAGCATGTCCAATGCCTTGTTTGGAACCTACTCACTTGAGCTGTGCTCCTCAATTCTATGTCTGCGAGTGGCAGCTGCCGGCAGCTGTACATGCCGAATGTTCCCACCAAGGCCTCCCACTGCAAGACGGATAGCGCAGCGCACCATCTGCGGAGTCATGCGTCCCGCGAGCGGGGCTTGCCTCAGCATTCCTGGAAATCCCTTTGAAGGGCGGCAACATAATGGACCTCATCTGTTGGTCAGCTCTTGCAATGGAATTGGGAGAGAATACCGAGCTAGTTGTGATTGGTCGGTCAGGTGTCGTCCTTCATCCCTGCTGCACATACCCTCTGCGATGTCGTTTTATCTTTCGAGACCTTATGGTCACGATAGCCGCTATTGCTGTGAACGAGTGTTTTGAGCAAGAGCTTGCCCAGGGATGCTATCGCCACAGACGCTGCGATGTGCGACCTGATACTTGCGATCCACATCATGCGCGTGAGAAAATCAATGGCAGGGCACTGTATTTCGGCTTCTTGCAGGGGGCAGTAAATGCCGCCGGCAGGTGCAGTAATCTGCTACTGCTTAGACAAAATTCACTCTGCAGCCAGCAATGCAGCATATCGTTTTCGGAATTCGAGGGAATCGAAACAAGTCACCGAAATCTAAGGCCGGATAGTCTCCAGCGCTTTGATTGGGTCGAGCTTGAAGTAAAATTCCTTTGAGAGAGCTCCGGCCTGCAGACCACTATCCGGCAGCCGTTTCTTTTCTCAGGTTACCAAGTTGGCACGGGAGCGACGGCAAAAGGCTAAGGCCCGCGGCGCTGAGCAGGTGATGATGTTGTGAGACCTAGGACGCTACATACCTGCTTCAGCAGCACAGGTCATCTTGATTATCAGTGTTTATCGAGCAAGGTTACGATGACATATTCGAGATAGTGTCAAGTGTCACCATGGTTGCCAGGAGAACGTGGAGCCAACCGCAGAATGGGGCAGGCCTTGTTACTGTTCGTTTTGTCGCACAAATCTGAACTTCCTTGCAACCAATCTTTCGATCATGAGAGAGCTCGCTGCTGAAACTTATTCTCAAATTCTTTGCTCAGTTGCGCGTATGGCAACTAGATACGTGTAAGTACCATTCCTGGGATGGCAACTTAGGTTGGGATCTTCGGGTGGAAACTCTAGTGTTGGGGTTAAGATCTCAAGATGAATAATGAATAGTATAGTTTATCCTAGGTTGGGCTCTGGGACTGGTCTGGGTTCTCCCGTACACCTAACTGGGCAAGGCATCCTCTAACTCATTCCCGACGGAGGCCTCCGCCCAAGCCGGAGCATCAAAGCAAGCAGAGCAACACGCACCTCGGCTCAATCATAAGCCTGGTTTGTCGAAGTGGATGCTTTTGTTTGGGCTCATAAATAGAGAGAGAGAGAGAGAGAGAGAGAGAGAGAGAGAGAGAGAGAGAGAGAGAGAGAGAGACTAACGTTTTGCTTGTGTTGATTGTTGGCAGAGACGGGGAACCTGCATCTTTCAATAGTCGGCGCTCATAGTCGGTTGTGCTTATACCACCATCTCCTGATGCTTGATTCCTTGTGAACAGAGTGCCGCACAATCTTGCAATGATACATCGGTCCATACATGCGAACTTTGGGGGACCATGGTATGCTACTACGGAAATGATATTAGTTGTGTAGCAGAATACTCACAAAGCGGGACCGTGCATGTGTCGACAGATCATCGATGAACCCAGCAGGCCAATATACTTTCTTGCACAAACTGGGGGAATCGATGTTTTTCACCCCCTACCGAAGGCCCCATATACATGGGGGGCCCATGAGGCCAGGGGGCTTGACACGCCTCCTATGCCCTGCAGCAGAAGAGAGCCGAAAAGAATTGCGAATCGCAAGCTCCTTTCAGTTCCATGCGGGCCGCTTTGGACCGGCGCTGCGTGAAAGCGCTGGCGCCGGAAGTTGCCAGGCGCCTCCAGGCATGGTCCGCTGGGATTTCTCTGCCAGTGGACCAGCCGGTTTTGATCACACTCAGGGAAAGGGCTTAAAGCCGTCATGTAGAACTCTAGTCTCATGCGATGGCATGCCAACGCTCTCCTGTGGAGATCTGTGGAGCTGACTGAATCTTACGTGCGTCCGATCACCATGGCCCGTTCGCTGAGGTGATGCTTCATTAGAGCGCCTGAAACGAGGTGGAAGAGTTTGAAGTCGACGTGTTAGACTGTATTGGCTCGAGCTTCAATCGTGCTTGACCTACTTTATAAGAGGCCGATTCTACATGTTTATTGAGTGGCGAGCACAGATTTGTGAAGCCTGCACCCCCAACCAGCAAAGCCCGCCTGAGGTACTCGCATCAAGATCTGAGTGGAAAATTGAGCGTGATAGGCAAAACAATGCACGTCGGAGCGTGTCAGTCAAGAACGCCAGAAATATCGGCTCTGCGTCGTCAGAGAGAAACCGAGCGCTTAGGTTGACCTGAACTTGATACCGTATCTTGCCATCCCCAATGTCTGGTGGCTTTGCCGGCGCATGTATCACGTGGCGCGTTTGCTTTCGTGACGCGTGGGACATGTGTGGGCGGTGTCGGCTCGCGAGACGGCAGTGATGTCAGGCCGCTCGAGAAGAGTGGGGCACCGTTCGCCAGCGCTTGCGGCTGGCGCGGCCGCCCCCAGCCGAGGTTCAGGCGCCCGCGCGCCCGCAACTTTGAGAGCTATTCAGGTTTCAGAGATGCTGAAGCCTTCTCTGCACTGGAGGAGCCTGCCCCGGAGCCAGCATCAAAGGCGGAGCACAGAGAGGCCAAGGCCATCTTCAAGGGATCTCCGGCGGCGAAAATGTTGCAAATAGGCCTGGACAGGAAAGCTCCAGTCGCTGATTATGGCATGCCATTCCCCATCACCCCGCCATACCCCGACAGTGTACCAGCCGCAGACCGTTGAGTTAATGGTCCACATCGTTCTTCCAAACTTTCACCACAAACAAATAAGGTGTGGTTCATTGAAAGGAGTGAGAGGTTATACGGCTCCCTCGCATGGAGCTCACTGCAAGGCTTCCCAGTCCTCAGGAAACTGAAAGGGACCCGGCGCGTGTTCATGTTTCGAACCCTGCACAGAAGCCGAAATGCTCCAGGGCCTGCCCACAAGCAGACCGTTCCAAACAGCCGACCTGGAGAGACGCTTGATGTTGTGCTTTAGTGCATTTATGCGGGAGACCCGACAGGTGACCCCTCGTCGCTCGGAGCCAAAGCCGGAGAGGGAGCCCGCTCCGAAGGCAACCCACGAGGCAGCGAAACTGGGAGCTGGAGGGGCCTGGGGTCTTGTTGAGAGATGAAGCCGGAATGCGAGCAGGCGCAGGCACAAGAGCGGGTTCGTCTCCGCTCGACGTGAAGTTCCCCCGTCCCAGGCCACCCCAGGATGCCAAGGGCAAGATGAGGAGGATCCAGACCGAGCTCGCCGAGTGGGCTGCAGGAAGAGCGCTGATTGTACTTGAGACAGTTGGTGATTCGGTTGGGCGCCGGCTTCAGCCACCCAGACCCAGGGTATCCACCTTGTGGTCATGGTTGTGGAATGTTGTAGGATCTGACTCGAGCGCATTATACTTGGCAGTGTGGGTTGGACATTGCTCTGGGGATTCCGCAAAAAAGGTTTTGGCTTACGGTCGCGGCTTTTGCTGTCGTTCTGTCAGTCGTTTTGCGTGGGCCTCGGAAGGTACTTGTTGACTTCATTAGGGGCTTCGGCTCTGCAGGATTCTGCTTGATGCTTTTGTAGACGGTTGCCATTAGAATTGACAGAGCGGGTGGTTGGAGTTGCAGAGAATCTGAGCCGTTTCACGCCGATTGAAATCTCCTTACAGGAACGGCATCCCCGGCCAAGGAGAGCAAAGCAGCAGAAACCCAAAAGAGCAAACGGTAGTCAAACGGTATTCAGCCTGCTCGGCAAGCATCCATCGGTGCGCCCAGTTTAGCCTTACGGCTGCAATCAAGAAAGTCACAGTTCCCGAATCGATAGGCTCCTCTGCCAAGGTGCAGTCGGGCTGTTCCAGTCTTTCCTTGAGCGCGGCCGCAATGCGGAGAACTGGCGAAACCTGGCCTGTAACTTTCTCGACTGCACATTTGTCTTACTATAGCATTTGCCTTGACAGAGGTCTACATATGCCAGATCCTCTGTGAGAAGCTCACATCCAGCATGTCTGGAGAACAGAGGTCGTAGCCGTAGCCGTAGTAGTCGTCGTCGTCGCTGTGTTCGCATGGCACCTCGATTTGCTTAATTTCCTGTCTCTCGAACACTTTGTTATCCACCTCTCGTGTTTCGTCCCGAAAAGGAAGAAAGTCAACACTTTGTGTTGCCAGGTTACATCCGTGATGTTGATGGAACTTCGAGAAGATGGCATTTGCGGGTTTGAACTGTACTCAAGCCCAGAATGTCCCAGGGAAGAGATGTAGCAACCACAAACTCAGCACGAGACATTTGGACAGGAAAAAGGATCACTCGCATCTTCCTCTTCAAAACAAGCATGTCCACGGACGAAATCAAGTAGATCAGTATATCCTCAGCAGACTGACGCGTCTTTCAAGACGACTAGACCTGCCCGGTTTGGACAGGACTGTTGTTCCGGCTGTTGGGGTCTGAGAATCGGGTGCTGGCATGGAAGAGCTGTGGTGTTGTAGAGGTTCCTGTCGCAGAGAATTTTCTCGTCAGGTAAGAACGACTTGCGCCTGATCAACCACATTGTGGTTCCAATGCTGCTGGGCTCTGCTGAGCATCGATGGGGTTTGCGCCAAATTGCACGGATCACGACGGCAAGACTGCCATGATATTTAATGCCACAGTCTTTTAATGAAAGATAGCGCGCCATGCCTCAGCGACAGTAGAGTGACCAAGAGGGATGCTACGAGTGTTTGAAGTTCTATTCCACTCTCACTGCCATTGCTAGTCTAAGGTATCGTTCTTGTAAATGGTAGCAGGAATACAAGCAATAAATGAGAAACCCATGTTCCAAGAGCGGTACATCGATGGGTCAGGGCGCCCGACGAGGTTGCCTGGGTTAGGGTCTCACGAATGTACAGCCGCAGTGCAAGTTGACAATGGAATGGGGTCAATGTCAGACGAGATCTGAAGTCGAGAGAGAGCGCGGCTACAGTAGCTAGCTGTGGAGTTGTGGGAAAGTTTGGGCTGAAACGATCGTTCGCGGCCTGAGTTGGGATGGATGGGGTGTCCGGGACTGAAGTCCTAGGTCGATCCACGGTTGGCTTGTAGCGAGTGCGCAAGACTCAGTGGTTGTCGTGATATTGACAGGCAGCAAATGCCAAAGGTGCATAGCGAGAAGCACATTAGATGCCGCTGGCATCGCTTTCCTGATCGCCATCAACGTCGTGGCCATGATTGAACATCATGTTCAAGATGATGACTATGACCATGGTTTCATCGCGACAAGTGGCTCATCATTTCAGTTGCATTTCCATCAGCATCGTCATCACTGCCGTCGCCGGCTTCCCCATCAACGCGTTGATGCCACTGCCGTGCCCATCATGAGCATCATGTTCACGGCAGTCACCACCCCTTATGGGAACGATAGTGGACCGATCATTGCATGTGGCTTTGAAATTTAATTTTCGTCGTCGGTATCACCATGATCATGCATACAATCATGCAACCATAGCGGGGTGAGCATGTTCGGCATCTTCATCACCAACACCCTTGGATCACACCGTCAGAAGCATCATCGCTGAGCCCACAGAACATTGCTTGAATGTTTCGGAAATCAGGCTCGAACGAAGCCTTCAGCACAATTCCTGAAGCCCTCATTACCCTTGAGAAAGAAGAGTCAACCAGCAGTCAGAACGGCTAGCCAGCGAGGCCCAGCCAGTCAGCTATCGAATCTGGACACCACTCAGTTCGCTCAGGTTGTTTGGTGATGCCTCGATCGACTGGGCCCGACCGGCCCTAGCGCTTGACGAGCTGGAGGATCTGCGCGGGTTCGCAGAAGTTTCGGACGGTTTCGGATGCAGGGTACTCAGACCGCATGGCCGACTGGTGCTGGGCCGAGGAGCTTGTCCGCAGCTTTCCGGAGAAGCGCATCGATGGCAACACCTATTCAACGCTTTCGGCTTTCTTTTGTCAAGAGAGACTGAAAGATGCCTCCTGAGCGGCGAGATGGTAGCATCGGCAGATTTGCACGATCGTAGGTGGGGCAACCGGCGCTTGCCAGCCCTACACAAGCAACTGTCCTCCATGAGTTACATATACAGACTTTCCTACTTTCAGGTTGGGGAACGTGCACCAACACCCTGGCCCTTCCTCACATGCCATGCTCGAAACTCCTACTCTCTTTAGCGACGAAGAAGCCGAAACGTTGTTTGACGTTTCAGGTTGCCACGAAACCTTTTAGTCACTGTAGTCAAGTGCAGAGCTCGGCCAAACTACCCACAGCCGGCCTAGGCTGGCGCTGCTTCCGCAGCATAAGGACACTTGTGACCGAGTGAGCTTTCTTGCGACTTTCTGATCTTTGGGCCGGGCTTGTTGTGGCTTGTCAGGGCTTCCTCGAGCTGCAGCTAGGGACTTGAAACATCTCGGAAGCCAGCTCTGGACTTTCTTGCTTTGATCGTGAATTACCCCTGGCTTCGGAGTTCAAGACCTATTGGAGGTTCACCCGGAGCACGCAGGATGCGAGGTATTCGGTGTTCGGTGCATGCAATAGCGGCACCGAAAAGATTGTGTTGCCGGACCGGCATGATAGCATCTAGTGGTAAAGAGTAGAGAGAGTAGGATTCAAGATTCAGTGGCGAAAATGGGCTGGCCGAAGATAGATCAGCATCGTTTCTTGCACTTCAGGCATCAAGCGTGCTTCCAGATCGGCACACGTTTGGCATGGCTGGCGCCAATGCCAGTGACCCTCCCAAGGAGGCCTGAAAGACCTGTAACAATGATGAAGTGGAGTTGATGCGGCTGGCTGGAAGTGCTTTCTTGTACTGTCCTCCAAAGAAGCGATTGTAGCAGCCTGGCGTAGTTCTGGAAGTCAAGGCACGGTCGGTTAAAAATGACATAAAATGACGTCGTGCAACGACCCTATGCTACTCAGCAGCTTGTGGCTCACTTGTGCTTCAGCGCCAATGGCTGTGTCGCAGTAAGCGGGGTCTTGACATGCCGAGATCTGTGTCCCTGATCGCCCACACCAGATTAGAGCTAAGCTCCGCAACTTGCACCTGCACCCTTTTTTCCTGCATATGCAGCCTGGATTTGCCGGTCGGTTGGGGTTGGGTTGGGTCGATTTGGTTGGGGGTGGCTTTGTTTTTGTTGGTGTCGGATGATGTCGGATGGTGGGGTTGGTTGGTTGTTCTGCGATCCACAGAAGCCCTGAAGGCAGTGGCGCTCTCTGTCTAATGAGCTAGGACGACATTGCCGAGCTTGATAAGTCCTCTGTGGTTGGGGAATCGTGCTAGCATCCGCTGACAATGCGTTTCGGAAGCTCAAGCAGAAATAAGTGACGAGACTTGAGACTGCGGAGCCCCTGCATCCCTCACGTATCGATCCGAATCACAGTAATTATTGTCAGAATGACGCGACCGGCCCGAGTCGAGTCGAAGCGCCCATCGGTCCAGCTCGAGCTGCAAGCCACGACGCCCTCGAACAAGACCCCAAGTCCAGAAAGGCTGCCGGTCGCCCGCCAGCAATGCCCGGCACTCGCAGCCCACTTAGTGCCGACGGGGCAGGCCAGACGTAAAGGACGCTTGGGATGGCGGGATTGGCTGGCCAGGGGCCCTGAACACCCTTGGACCAAATCGCTGTTGGAGTTCCTGCGGCAGTTGTTTGCATCTTGTGGTTTGTCCGCCTCAACAGCTGATGTACTTTTTTGCTGCATTTGCAGTTGGCGCCGGGTTGCGGTCCAGAGCCGGCACGGGCGATTCTGGCAAGCCATGCTCCGAACGGCGCAGCCCACAGAGTGACTCCACACGTGCAGGCCTCAGATGTGGGATAGATGTTGCTGTCTTTTTCGATCGGTGCAGCTAGCTCACAGCATGGCATCACTACCTCTGGTCAGCGAATTGAGTCTGTTGTTCGACCCGTCATGAATTTGCGCCGGACCTTGCAAGGAAGCAGTTGTGTATCGTACTGACGGCGGCCACCGTGACACACGATGCAGGTGTCTAAATGTTTTTTCATCTGCCCCCAGCAAGCATGTTGCACGACTCGTGTGATAGCCCATTGCGGCAAAGTGCGGTTTGCATTCTGCTGGGGTTCGGGAAAAGTGAACCAGTGAACTGTTGCCCTCCACCGCAGCAGTTCCTTGAAACCGTGCCTGGATTTCTCAAGAAGCATCAAACGAGGCCCCAGGCCAACATGAAGTTCAAGCCGGGGCATAGAGCAGGCTACGGGGGTGCTGCTGACATTTGGGCCCACTTAGCTATCAAGCCAAATCCTTGGCTTGCCTGATCAAAAGACTGAAGTTTTTGGCGTGTACGGCGCGCACCGGGTCAAATACATCACTCAAGCACTGCCTATGTGCATGGTCAGCTTGTGTTAGGCACCACCCGCAGCGCCTCGCCATCAAGAGCGGTGACAACTCATCAGGAGGCATGGATGGGATGGACGGTTGAGGAAGATGTGCTGGCCTGGAGAGGGGCGGTTTCCGGACATTCCGAGGGGTTTGTAAATGTTCAGTGTGAGCCTAGGGAGTGAGGGGCTGCCCGATGACGATACTTCAAGAGCAAAGCTTTGGACGGCGTTCTGCATCTGACATCATGGCACTGGGCGACTCCATATAAGTTGAAGGTTGTTCAAGGTTTGGAACCTTTTGGCTGCAGACAGCGTCACGCGCGCGCGCGCGAACTGTCTTGGTGGGGTCTTGGGCTGGCTTCTGACAAAGCATGTCATAGCCCGAGGCTGATAGGTGTGTGCTTCTATGCCGGCCTGTACGTAGACGTAGCTTCACCAATACTAATATCTGCTAGGACTTCTTTCCATGGCACGTGTGCGCAGAAGAGGTTGGCCCGAAGAGCTTTGCAGACAGCTCTGGGTGGCTCGGTACTGGCAATGTACCAAATCAGTCACTACACGAAATGAGCCGAGCAGTCAAACAACCCAGAAGGCATTGGTCTACTTGCTGCGGAAGACAACTGAAGCATGTAG